ATTCTGTAATTGTAAATGATTAGGGTCCAGAGATTTCTCTGGAGGAAGTTAATCCATTTTGAGATTCATTTGGGAGTCTCTGGATCAAGGCCAGGTGCTCTGACCTGGTACCCAGAGGTAGATCGTGGGCATGACAGCCACGACCCCAAGTGGAGGGGATACCTCCTTCTTCTCTATTGTCAAGTGGAATGGAGTCTTAGTCCCTGAACTCACATACCTGTGTTTTGCTTCTGGAAGCTTGTGGCCACCGGGATTTCATCTGGAGTGGGCAGAGAGGGAACAGTCTCTCCACTTGAGGTGCCCTGGTAGAATTGGCGTGGTACAGGGTCTGAACAGATCTCTGGCAAACTGCTATCCTCTGGGATTACTGCTGTGTCTCTTGATCAAGGTCATTGATGTGCTGTGAAGGCACATTTTGTGTGTGTGTTTGTGTGTGTGTAGTATTCGGGTTTATATATGTACATATTTATACAATAGAAATATTTTATATTTATATTGAAATTTAAATATAATCTCTCTCTCACATGGCAAAGTCTGGCAAGCTACCTGTGATGTATTCAATATGCCAAACACAGTAACAAGTCTCACAATGTTACTAGGCCCGCTTGAGCAAATTGATGAGCAATGGGAGGACAGTGCTACAGTGGACAGTTCTAAAATATTTATATTTTATATATTTAAATTAAAATACTTTATATTTATAAATAAACTATTTATATTATTTTATGATGTAAATAGTATGTATATATACGTATGTAGTATTAGAGTTGTTTCAATTGGAACATTTGTAAATCAGAAAAAAATATCTTTACACAGCAGAAATTGTTAATTTGTAGTCTATAGTTATGCTGTGCTATTAGTATTTAGTCCAGGGATCCAAGACCAGAATTATTGAAAATCATAGATCTGTACTTGTTATCACTAAAAATTAGAGGAAAAATAAATTTCCTTTCTTCTCTTTGCCATTGATTTAGGTTATCTCTGTTAATTTAGGTTAACTCTGTCCTTGGCATAATCTGGTCAATCTGGTCAATCATCAAACAGTCAAAAGCAAAAAAAAAGGCAGTTTTAATCTTTCTTAATACTTTACTCAAAATTTCATTATATACTGTCCTCAAGATAAAAAATCTTTTACCAGCACTTTCCCCTTTCCTTTTTATTGAACTAATATTCATTAATATTCATTAATCTCAAAAAATGCCTAACACTAATCTATGCTCTTGTAATCACTTAAAATCTCATAAAATGTGTTATGAATAATTTAAAATAAATTTATTAGATAGAAAAATAAGGCACAATGGATAAGTGAGATTGTGCAAAAAATAGAGCTAGCAAAGGGGAAGTTTGAAAAAGGCTACCTTTGGATACCAGACTAGTACCACTGTAATATCTGAACATTATGATCATGATCACGATCATCCTGTTGTTTGTCGATTGCCTCGAGCAGGCACCAATCATGTCTCCTTCTTCCTAGCTCTGAAATTTTAAAAGAGCCGTATTCAATGCTCTTTCAGGTCTAGGAGAATGAGACCTATCATTGTTACTGGTATTTGGCATATTGAGTATGATATGGGAAGTTTGCCAGACTCTGCCGTGCGGGCAGGATACTTTCAGTAACCTGCCGGGTTCTCCAAAGTAAAAACGAGATAATAAGATGTTGTGTGGCCGCATTTGCGGCTGAGCGCTTCCGGGAGCTGGGTTTTATAGTCTCTGGGTCTTGTCGGTTCATGGGACCACCTGGCGCCAGCACAGCTGGTGGGTGTAACGCCTACCTACTGGAGGATGAGGGTTCTGGGTGCAGAAGGCCCAGTCCTGATCCGAGCAGGCTTGGAGATCTCAACCCTGGGACCTGAATGCCTGGGTTCCTCTGCTGATTCCTTTGTGCATGAGGCTTGTCCAGACGTGTGGAGAGTGGTCTCAGCATGGATGTGGCTGGTTCTGGAGGTCTTCAGCTGCCAGGGCTCTGTTCGGGGCAGCAAGGAAAACTCAACTCGCCCCCCTCCAAGGGACCCCAGTGAGGACAGCCAGGTGCGGGGGCAGGAGACTGCGCTGTTCTCTTCTGGGAGCTGGGTTTTATAGTCTCTGAGTCTTGGCTGTTAATAAAACTACCAGGCGCCTGCGGCAGTTAATGGGTATAATAGCTACCTACTGGAAGATGACGTATCTGGGTGGAGAAGGCCCAGAACATATATTTATTAATTATCTTCTGCTTATCTCAAATGGCAAGGCACAAGCTCCATAAATCATTGTTTATCTCTATGAGTCTTCAGAACTTGGTTAAATAATTAAAATAACATCTGACCGATTGGTGATAAGAGAAAAAGTGAAAAAGGATGTGTTCATAATTAAATAATCTTGTATAGGCGGGGTGTGACTCAGCAGAGATGAGTGACTCATCCACATAATTTATAAATTAACTTAAAAAGCCCTACCTAAGACACAAGTGGAAAGGATAAAAAAGAAACTCTGTCAAGAAAGTTAATAAGGCATAAACAGAGGAATGCATGTACCTTTAAATTACCCCTCCCTGAAATGATGGATTAGATCTAAAAATTTACATTTAAATTACTTCTTCATGGGCATTCAGTCCTTAAGACTCCTCCTATCAAATTTATTTTATTTCAAAAATATATTTAGAAAAGATAAATTCATTATCATCCTGGGCATTACTAATGCTAATTCAAGAAGTAAATTGTGTATAAGAGAATTTTTATTTAGTTTAACTAGTTGACTAAGGTATATATACTTTCAAGTCTCAGCAAAACAGTCATAAACATCTCTGTATTTCTTTACCCAGTCTTTTTTGAGTTTCTCTTCCTGTTTGTTTGAACTATTTATCATAATTTCTTTAAGTATGGTGTTTTTTGGGTAAATATAATTATAAATTGTTATTAAAAGGTAAAGGTAAAGGCCCTCCCGTTGATCGTCGATTTGCTCGAGCGGGCCCAGTAACGTCTCCATTGGAGACTTTGTTGTTACTGTGTCTGGCATATCGAATACTCTCGGTAGCTTGCCGGGCTCTCCGAGAGGGGCGGAGGAATCGAACTCGGGTCGGCCATGTTGGCCGCTTGTAATGCGAACGCCCTACCCGCTGTGCTATCGCTCCAGCCCAAGTATGTGGGGTTTTTCTTGAACTTTAAAACAGTATGAGAAACACTTAATCACTTAATCACTTAACTTCCCGTTAGTCGTCAATTTGCTCGAGCGGGCGCCAGTAACGTCTCCATTTGTCCCTGTCGTGTGCTAGTGTAGCCCAATGGCATCTGTTCGCTCCGGGAACATGAAGAGCCTCAATCCGATCGTTCATGATCTTGACGAAGAAGTCTGAAAAACACAAGCAAAAATAAATAAGCACAATTCCATAAAAATGAAAAGCTTTTGTATAGTGGAGGCAATCATGAGCAAAAAAGAAAGGCAACTTCCCGAATGAGAAAAAAATTGCATATGGTATTCTGTTAAAAGATTAGCTTAAATATTCCAATAGAAAATGTCATTAAATTAATAAATAAAATAAAATAAATGGACTCAAATTAGACAGAGAATACGAAGAGACTTTTTTTTTTGCAAAGAAGATACACAGTTAATAGACACATGAAGAGATGACCAACATCTCTAACCATTAGAAGAAAAAAAGAAGCAAACCAAAGCCTAAATAAACTATTTTCTCACAAATTTCAGAATGATATCATAAAGTATTGAATAAAATAAAAGGGAAATGTTGTTGCGGAATATAAATTCTTACAGCTACTGTATGAAACAGAATGTGAACTTCCTTAGATACTGAAAAAAGGATAACTATATGATTCAGCCATTCTATTTTTGGGTATCTATCAAAAGAAGAAGACACTAATTCTCTTTTTTTTTCTTCTGAGGTCACACCCAGCAATGCACAGGGGTTACTCCTGGCTCTGCACTCAGGAATTATCCCTGGTGGTGCTCAGGGGAATATCTGGGATGCTGGGAATTGAACTTGGGTTGGCCGCGTGCAAGGCAAATGCCCTACCCACTGTGCTATTGCTTCAGCCCCAAGACATTAATTCTCAAAGATATAAACACCCCTATGTTCACTGATACGTTTTTTATGAAACTTTACAAACTATATATACACATATATATTATATATGCATATATTCATGCATTTTATATATGTATACATATATAGTTTATATCTCTGGGCTGGAGAGATAGCACAGCGGTAGGGCATTCGCCTTACAAGCGGCCAACAAGGCCGACCCACGTTCGATTCCTCCGCCCCTCTCGGAGAGCCTGGCAAGCTACCGAGAGTATTCGATATGCCAGACACAGTAACAAAAACACAGCCTCCAATGGAGACGTTACTGGGCCCGCTCGAGCAAATCGACGATCAACGGGAGGGCCTTTATTTATTTTTATTTTTATAGTTTATACATTTAGGGTTTAGGTGTGGGGGCACATCAAACAGCTCACTTCTGACTCAGTGCTCAAAGGTGGTGGTACTTTGTGATTATTTGGTCCTAGGGACCAAATCCAGATCTCCTGCATACAAAACATGTGTTCTAGCGCAAAAAGCATCTACCTGGATCCAGTCTTTGCTTCATTAATATAAGTGAAAAAGTCAGGCAGAGAAATATTTGTACCATGAGATCTCCTTGAGAAATGTATCTTAAACACAAATAAACTCAGACTCAGAGAACATGTTCATAGTTATCAGAGGAGAAAGTGGCTATGGAATAAAGGAAATCCACAGGTATAAAAGAAGAGTTCATAAAAAGAGGCGCACAGCATGAGGCCCAAGGATAATAAGTTTGTGGTACAGATTTGAAAAATCACGAATTACATATACAATAATATATTTACCTTTAGATGTGTCTATTAGTGGATAAAAAACTATTTTCAGATACAGAAATAACTGCACATATAGTATTTCACATTGCAAGAAAATGTCAAACAATATATCACGTTGCTGCCTGAAACTAATATGTTTGCTATCAATTATAATTCAATTAAAAATTAACTACCACGATCACTTCAGCAGCACATGTACTAGAATTGGAATGATACAGAGAAGATTAGCATGGCCTCTGCTCATGAATGACACAAATTTGTGAAGCATTGCTTATTAGGAATAATTAACTATCATAATGCCACTTTTTATTTAGGTTTATAAATTATAGTATTAAAAAATAACAATCCTTCCACAGACTGCTAGGCTAAGGAGAGCAAAAACCTGTGTTCTGTTTCACTTTAATAATGTTATAAACTGGAAGTACATATGGTGTATTATTGATACAATTCCATACAATTTTGTTTATTTAATCAGTAGAGATATTTTTCTGCGAAGTAATACACATTGTAATAACCCCTACTGTCCTCTCTATCCCCTACTGCTCTGTTATTTCTTGAGCAGGGAAGTAGTTTCTGATCTTTGAGGACAAAAGAGCTTTCCAAACAAGGCCAATTGGTCACTTAGTTTCTTTTTTGCCCTGTTGTCCCAGTCCTTTCTCAAAGGGAAACTTTCAGGCTCAGCAAGGGAGAAGACCTCCATAGCAGCTCACTTATCTCAGGAGTCATGGATAATCCCCTTCCTTGATGGGATTGTCCAGCTCCCCTGATGTTGTCAATATAATTTTCTTTTTCCCTCTCGCTCAAGGGGAGAAATGAGTTGTTTTTGTTGCCGGACGTGGCATCAGCACATGCTGGCTCTTCCTTGTAAAGGGAAGGAAATACAGGGTGCCTTCCCACTGTGTTGTTCCTCTCGTTATAAGATGACTATCTCCTGTCCATTTCTCAAATTCTGGTTTCTTTAGGTCACTTGCCAGGATTTCTAATTGTGCTTCCTAGAAACAGGAAAAGAGTAGGAAGAAACAATCTGCCCTTCTTTCTGAGTGGAGGCAGAAGGACAGATATCACATTTAGAGTGAACGGATACAAATGCATATAATAGGACTTTTTTTAAAAAACACATTTATTAAAGTAATTGCTTATTGGGCCAAAGACATAGTGGAGTGGCCACTTGTCTTGCAAGCAGCGATTTCAGGTTCAATCCGTAGAACAGCATATGGTGCCCAAGCACCACTAGGAGTGATTCCTGAGCTCATAGTCAGGAGTAAGCCCTGAGCACTATTGGAGTGTATTACACACCTCACCTCCCCACATAAAATTGCCAATTTGATAAGAAGAATAGAAAATGATGGTGAAGGTACCAACATCTCTAGTTTGAGTGTAAGAACAATCCAAAGAGCGGACAGGCTGAATAAAGAGATGTGATAAGGGTGTCTGATAATGTGTCCATGTTTCAAAGTTTTCATTATTTATTCATTCATAAATTTGATCACTTCCAATGATATTCAGACTAGTAGTTTCGCCCTGATGATTCAATGTGTTAGGGCTTTGCCCAACAGAGCTCAGGGACCACCGAGACTATATTCCAGGGCTCTGAGGCAATGTGGTATCAGGCATCAACTTCTGGTCCCTTAGGCCTACTTTGCTTTCTATGGCTTTTAATGTCTCCACAGACTCCATAATATTTTATGTTAGAGCAATAAATTTATATTAACCACATAATATATATATTCACCATAATATATAATATAATATATATCATATTATATAATATAATATATATATCATCATAATATATATATATTCACCAGGGCAAGCAGTGAAAAAACATCTTCACAATTACTAGTCTAACAGAGAGAAGCTAGGCTTTATGGTCACGAGAAACAAGTCTGCGTTTCAAATTGGGAAAACAACAAGCAAACAAAAGAAAACTGTTGATAAAAATCAACCTAGAATCAGAAAAAAATAACTTGAAATGCCAAAATATGTTCTTCCATAAAAGATATTTTATTTCTGTGAGATGGAACAGATAGGCTATTTCTGATGTGGTGTGTGTGTGTGTGTGTGTGTGTGTGTGTGTGTGTGTGTGTGTAATAAAGTCAAGACACTGATACCTGATATTGTTGCAAAAAAGCGATGCTTTGAGATTTAGAAAATAAAAATGTAAAGCCATGACCATAAGATAAAATTATAAACCCAAGAAAATAAACAATGGTTTGGACAGCAGCTGAAGACAAATAATGACAGCAGAATCTGGATTCTGAAGGTTTAAGAATTTTGTCCTAGCTCCAATATTCACATGTGATGTGAGATGGAAATGCCACTGAAGGAAGAAAAAAAGAGGTAGAGAAAGGACAAAGAGGAAGTGAAAGAAGACAGAGAAAGAAAAACAAAAGGGGAAAAAAGACACAAAACAGAAAGGAGAAGAGAGCAAATAAGAGGAGAAATAAAAGCATAAAATTAATTATGATATTTGTCTTAAATAGGATAGAGAGACTTTGTTCCATCAAAAAATATTGAATTGTAATTTGAGCCCAATTGAATAAATAAGAGCAAGAAGGGAACTTTACCTTCCTTGACGAAGAGTCAGTATAAATAATGACAGGAAGGGGCAAAAAGAGAAATTAAACATGCGGCGGACCAAAATCTGTTGTTTCTGCAATTTATCGGACTCCCTGTCCACTCCTGGGAACTGGGTCTGCAAGTCTGGGAAGCCCTAAAGTCTCATTCCCTCCATGTTCCCTCCTTGAGTTACTCCATGTGCCATGAAACACGTAGAGGTGTGGAATGAGTGAGGAAGCTTAACATACTACTACTTCATTCTTTCTAAATACAGAGATTTTTATTTTGATTTGCTTTGTTTTGCTTTGTTGTGGTTCTGGGGCCACAGCAATTAGGGCTTAGTCCTGATTCTGAACTCAGGGGTCACTCTTGTGGAGTGAATATTGGAGGTAGGACAAAAGAGTGCAGGGAGGATACTCAATTAAATAATAAAGGATAAAGAGAAAAAAGATTATAAGCCGTTATAATCTACATGATAAATAAAAATTGCTTTGAATGTTTACTAAAGTAGTTTAGCACAGGGAGTTAGTTATCCTTATGATGGAAGATGAAAGGAGTCAATGGACCATGGCATTACAGAAGCATTAGATCAGCAAATCAGAAGACAATCTGCTTTCAACAGAGACAAGGAAAATCCTTCGTCCACCTTGCAGAAGATGAAAACTATATAACCTGTTTGCTCGGAGTTGATTGGAGATGCTGAGGAGAGGCAGATGCTGAGAAAGACAATGCCAAAATGGACTTCCTTTCCATCTTTCTTGATTATCACCATCAGTTGTACTCCAGAAGAATGAGAGATGGCATATTGAGGTGAGAGCCACTTCAACCATGATGCACTGCAAGGGAAAATCCAAAGTTATCTAGAAAAAGCCAAATTATGTTTTAGAAGTGATATTCCTAGAATGACATTTGAAGAAAGAATGAAAGTGGTACAGAGTTCAGACAAAGAACCTATGATGAAATTACAAGTGGTGAATGAATGAAGGGTGACTAGGAAAATTGCAAGTTCAGGAAAAAGAAGATATAGACAGTTGGAAGCAAGAGTTTCAGATGGCAATAACACATAGAAATATAAAGTGGCATGTCAGTTTGCTTTCTTGCGTTTACCATCAATGTTTATATTCTAAGAGTGTAAGCAGACACAGTGTATAACATCACAGAGCATATAATGTAAAGTAGGCTTAGCATATGCTATGCGATCAAAGAATTTAAGGATGTGAATAAGAGCTGTTGACAATTTGACAGTATTTTTCCCATATGGCACAGAGAGTTGGGCGAATTTTGAGACAAAAAGAATAAAAATGCAAGTAAATAGACAAAAATATGAGCTTTTTGTCTACTATCATAATCTGTTATATTAGATTTAATCCTGGCTGTAACTAGCTGGGGTGTCTCTGATAGAAATTAGAATGATAGAGATTCAGGTGTATTCAGTTTGCAACAAGTACAGCTGGTAGATGCTTATAAGTATATCCAGTAGTTTGAAATAATTGTAACAGGAGTAGAAAAAGAAACAAGTTGGGAAGTTACAAAAAAAAGTAAGTAATGTATTTCAGTATAATAAAAGTGAAGTATATATTCAGAAAATTAAAGGGAATGACTACTTTTCAAAGATAAGTAATTAAGAGAACTGTGTATATATATATAGTTTTCTGAAAAAGTAGCGATAGTCATCTGTTTATACACCATTCCCTTTAATTCAGCTTATTTTAAATGCTAAAATGGAATGAGTGGTTTTGAAATCCAAGTATTTATTTCATAGGACCATACGGAAATTCCACATGTTCAGCTTTGGCAAACACATCTTCAAACATCCCAATAAGAACATCCGGCTAATCCCTGGGAATGTTTCCAACCACAGTTTTACAATTGCAGTTTTGAAAACCGGGAAACAAGATTCTGTAATCACAATGAGGGCAATGAGTTGTCAATGAGGATAAAAGCAAATGACGTACAGGTGGCTTTAGTGTAGACAACCATGTGCTTACATCTTGGAAGTATTCCAAAGGACAGGTCCTGAAAAGACACACAGCATTGGCAGTGGACCGGGCAAATAATCATGCAAGCTCTGTGATTCTCTAGCACTTACAATTTAGAGCAACTCAAGGGAGAAAACTCCAACAAGTAAACCACTGCAATAATTGAGCCATAATTATTAGCATTTTAAAGAGAACATTAAAATTAAACTCAATGTACTGTGTCTATTCTCCTTAAAAATGGGACTTTGTGTAGGGAGAGAGAACTCTGAGTAAAGTCATCCCAGTTATAATGTAAATAGAGTAATACTGAAAGTATAAAAGTCAGAGGTCAGGTGTAGCAAAGACATCCTACTTCGACTTCAATATTTTACTGTAATTTAAAATGAGGTTATTTCCTGATTAGAATCTCATAGCACTTGAGATGGAGTGATAATATAGTAGGTAGGGTGTTTGCCTTTTCACACAGTCAATTCAGATTCAGTTCCTGGTACCCGATACCCATCCAGCCCACAGCCCACAGGAGTGACCCCTGAGTTCAGAATCAGGACTAAGCCCTAATTGCTGTGGCCCTAGAACCGCAGCAAAGCAAAGCAAAGCAAATCAAAATAAAAATCTCTGTATTTAGAAAGAATGAATCATGTTGAGTCATATTCAGAGTTCTAGAACTACATTCTCTATTAGTCTTCTAGAATATTATACAGAATTTAATAGGTGAGTTATGTATCACATTTCTGTAATTTG